ACAACAAATTATTTTTAATATGCGTATATAATTCAATTGATTCATTAATAAAAGAAATATTATTCTTTTTTAGGCGCAATTTGTCGTCGTTCTGGTATACTTTTTACTTGTATTTACAACTGGATGTGAACCTCTTGGAAGTTTTGAAATAGGAATGTTTCTCTTTGTGTTAATGATTTTGCTCTTCTTTCTTAATTTTTACGTCAAATCTTACAACACAAAAACTGAATGATTAAATTAGTTATTAAATAATTATCAAATAAAACGTTGATTTATTTCAATAAAATGTTTTGTAAATTTTTTTTATCCTAAAATAATTGTGTACTTGTTATTTCCTTAGACGATATTTATGCATGAATACGAAGTGAATTTAGTTTAGCTGGTCAATTAAATACTAAAAAGTTTTATTGCACTAGATATTTCTGCTCTATAATAGAAATTCGTAAGTGGCCCTTTCGCTGTCTTAATTCTATGCATTTCTTTACATTTTGTTTTGCTGCTGATAAACTATAAGACTTAGAAACTTAGTCACAAAAAAAGAAAAGAAAAAAGTAAAGTGTACAGGGATTACGACAGAATAAAATTCAACATTCTTTTATTGGATTTCGAATTCAATTTTATTATTCCATAGTACTCTTAAACTTGCATCAAAATGAGTTCAGGTCTACATTCCACAAGAATGTAATTAAAGATTTGAGATTTGACGGGCTGAAGGGGCCATTTTCGTTATGAAGCAAACACGAGCTTTTTTTTTTTGAAATTTCAATTTGTTTGAAAATTATTATAATTTTAAGAGACACAAGACCACAGCAGCTGCATTACGAGCATTCAAGACAGAAATTGATGTTAAGGACACTATAACGCAACGAGCATATTTTAGCAAAACAGAGGTCATAGCAGATTCTCTTAAAAAATGTCGCGATAAGCATGATCTATGTTGTTTCTTTTCCTCTAAAAGAGATAGTTTATTTATTTATTATATATTACTCCTCTAAAAGAGATAGTTTATTTTTTCACTTTAAGTTGTAGTTGTAGTTCAGTTACGTCGCACTAGAGCTGCACAATGGGCTATTGGCGACGGTCTGAGAAACATCCCTGAGGGTGATCCGAAGACATGCCATCGCAATTTTGATCCTCTGCAGAGGGGATGGCACCCCCGCTTCAGTAGCCCGACGACCTGCACGCGAAGTCAAGCACTTTACGGTAGAACAGTTTAACGAGGATCAATACCGCACACCCTCGGTCCCTACGCAGACTGATCCAAGTGGTCACCCGCACACTGACCGTTGCCAGTGATGCCAGTGATCTGTTGGGAACCGTGTCTTAACGATCAGTCCACTGGGGGACATTCATTTTAAGAATTTGCGTTTTAAGTTTTGAAATAAATTTTTAGAACTCCCGTCGTATTTTCTGTTACTTGTGACACTACAGAATTATTACTGGTGGCAGCTTTGGGGACTTTGAAAAGTTTAATTTGCTTCTGTTAGAAGATTTGAACTTCTTAAATTATATAGCAAGTTATTAAGTTATTTGAAAGTATACTGAAACACAGTAGCTCATTGTAGAAGCTGTTAATTGTGACAGCTAGGAAACCATGGAAGTTCGGGGTAGAGGGATCGAGGTTTAGGTCGAAAGCCGAAGGTAGGAAGACCAAACTGAGTAGTTCCTGCACGGAAGGATACTTGCGGATGAACACAATCGATTACCACTGCTAGTAGTGAACAGTCTGCTCACCGATATTTAAGGAGTGGATATTTTGCCATAGTAGTTGGTGTATTTGACAACTAGCCCTGACTATACCTTTTTCTTGTTCTTTGTTTTTGTCTATGGGGATTTCCCCAATTTTTAATATGACTTTAATGATGACTCTTACTTACATTTCAAACTAGTGAAGACGGATCGGAAAGTGGCGCTTCGCGCCAAACATCGAGATTACATAGATATCAAGCATCAAGCAAGCACCAAGCAAACCATCGTGGTTGTTGCAGCGTCCGATACCTCGTCCCGATACTTCGTTTTCCCCTGTGACTCCTACTTTCAGGAGGAGGTGCTTGCATTCGATAGTTTAATTTCGATAGTTTCTATTAAAGAAGGATGTTTCAGTGCAACAGTGTTTTATTTGACATCTTCTAGTTTATCACTAAGCAATACTCATCTCTTATAATGTTATAAGAGTTATGGCCTTTCTTAATAGGAGGAAAAAATCAGATCTCCTTGATTTTGCCGAGGAACTAGGTGAAACAATTTCTCCTCAAGTACATATGTGTTTGAAATAAAACACATAATTCAAGTAAGTAAAAATTATGAGATTGAGGATGCGAAAATATCATTGGCTAGAGTTACAGAGGAGAGAGTATGGCAAGAAGAACTTGAGCATCAAGAACGATGTAAAGAACTTGAGCATTAAGAACGACTACGGTGGGAAGAGCTTGGGTGACCAAGAGCGCAACGGCGGGAAGAACTTGAGTGACAAGAACATTAACGGCGAGAAGAAAATGAACCCTTAAAAGGAGATCAAGAAGGATTAGAATCAAATACTAAACAACTCATAAAGTACAGTTATTACAAATAACTTCTAAATTTCAAGAGAATAAAAACGAAATGAAATTATATCTTATCAATTTTGAGTGTAGAGCAGAGAGAAAACAAATTCCAAAGGATGAATAGGTGGACCATTTATTAAGCGTTGTACCACAGAACATTTCAAGTATTTCGGAGGGAGAATTACCTAAAGAAGAAAAAAATTACGATTTTGTAAAAGAATTTTCTGAAACAATATAAACTTAATGTGGAATGATTCAAACAAAAATTTTACCAGCATTTAAAATCTCTTAATAAGTCTTGGGGACATTTTGCCCAGAAATTAAAGAGTTATTCATCTAAGGAAACTTGCTAAACCAAGAAATCGTCGAACTCCATGTATATATTGAGGTTGGGGAAACTTAGATATAGCTTCTACTTTCTGCTCATGATTTACTCGGTTTTTATTTATAATAAATCCTAGATACTCCACTTCTTTCTTTTCAAACTCACATTTATGTAATTTCAGGGTTAAATTCAAGAGAGTAATGCTTTAAATACTTCAGTTGACTTCCACATCATTTCTCCCCACGTTTTTGCTGTAATAAGTACATCATCCAAGTAACATAATACACCATTGTTGTACGACGGACCTAATGAGTGGTACATCAATCGTTGAAATTCTGCTGGAGCATTAGTTAAGCCAAAAATCTTCCTTTCGATCTCTCCAGTTTCATCTGGGGTTATAAAGCATGCTTTTAGCTTTGCTTTTTCAGTTTGGGGTATTTGTAGATACCCTTGCTCCAAGCCTATAGTTGTGAAATAACTGCAGTCACATAATTTCTCCAATAAATCATAAATTTCTGGCAATGGAAACTTATCTTTTATAGTTTGACTGTTAAGACGTCTGTAGTCAACCACACGTCTGTTCTCACCAGTCTTCTTCTTTACTAGTATGACAGGACTTGCATAGGTTGATCTTGTTTCAGAGACTTTTTCATTTCCTTTCCATTCATCCACCAATTTCTTTAATTGCTGTTCTTTAAGGAGCTTTATATTGTTTCATATAAATGGGCTTTGACCCTTCAGCTTCTCTAATATCAATTTCTGTTAAGTTAGTACATCCTAGCTCTGAAATGTTCATCGCAAAACAATCTCGATATCCATTCAACAGTTGAAGCAATTTTTGCTTCTGTTCATTTCTAATATTAGAGTCAATTTTCATTTCTCTCAATTTAATGGGAGCTTTTCCTTTGGAATTATCACAGCTAAATGAACTTAGGATATTTTCTTTTAACTTCAACGATTGAGCACAATTCAACAACTTCTGCCCTTCCAACAGAGTAACCTCCTAAACGCCCGACATTTTTGTGTCCAATATTTGCCAAAGGAATGCACGTTTTTCCATTTTTAACTTCTGCCCTTCCAACACAGAGATCTTCTAAAAGCCCGACATTTTTGTGTCCAATATTTACCAAAGGAATGCACGCTTTCTATTTTTAACTTCCAGTGAACAATCAATATGTTTTCGGAAGGATTCTCCATCATAATTTACCCATGTTGGATATCCTCTGCTTGAGATCTAATAAGATTGACTGTATTTTTCTGTAATTCTTAAGAACTTTAATGAGGATTCGATTTACTTCTTCTTCAATTAAGAAATTATTAAATGGTTCTTCTTCCCGATATCCGATACGAAATCTTTTCCCTATTCTGGCATAAGCGATGTATGATAGTTCAAGCCATGTTCGTTCGATGAGATCAACTGGCTGAGTATTATAAAGAACAACATAAATACTTATTCCGTTGCCTTTTACATTATCGACTTCGATATCAGCTTCAATTTTTCCAATAGTGATTACTGCAGGTACCTTTTGATTTCAAGAACCATATAATTCATCGACAGCAGGTTCAAGTTTCAGTTCATGTTGAGTAAAAAAGGGGACTAGATGGCTCGAGGGAAAGTACTTTTTAGCAATGAGCAAAAGTAATGCTCTTATGGTAGAATGACCAAAAAATCTGGTTCTTCTGATTCATTTAAAGTTTAAGGTTGTTCTTCGCTGTGGTTTCTCATAAACAGTTTTTAAGAAAAAGAACATCCAGAAAGTTTCCCCCAGAGGAAAGAAATTTGCACATGAAATTCGGACAAAAGATGTCGGCCCCCTCCCTAGAAGTTCAGAAAGGAGTCAGGCAACACTTTTCTTGAAGCAATAATGATAAGATCGAGTGACATTTGAATTATAAAAGAACTTTCCCAGCGGTCAGTTAAGGAACATATATCACCTCAGCAAGGGATGATTTGGTAGCAGATTTCGCTAAAGCTCTCAAAATAGTTACTTTTTATTTACTTTTTTAAATAATTTTTTTAACTTAGAGCAGAAAGTTTTATTGTTCTATCAGAACATTTTGATTCTGATCGAAACAACATTGATCAAGTAGGTGAGGGGGTGGTTTTTAGTTTTTAGGAAATTGCCGGTAGTTACACTCTGACCTCTTTAAACTTCCGTTGTGGTAAGGTGAAAGAAAAGAAAAAGACTGTTTTATTTAGAGAACGATAAACGATGTGAAAAGGGTGAACAAGGAAAAAAAATGCTACAAGTCATTCATTTGTAATTTTTCTCCTAATAAATTAAAACTCAAACAAAATTATTATCAATTTCTTTTCATTTATTTTATTTTTATTTTTTATTAATTTTTTTAAAAACAGAAGTGAGTAGGTCGTAGAGTGCCAGTTCGAAAAGTGCATAGGAATATGTCCCCGTAAACCAGTCCATCAGTGTATTGATTCTTAGCAAATAGATAATGCTTGTCATTCAATGACTTCTGCAAAAAAAGCATTGAGTGTTCAAAAGAGCCACTATCTTCATTTTATAAAATTACAATAAAAAAAAGTAAAAGTTCTAAATTTAAAAAGTAACGAAGTACAAATAAAAATACGTACATTTTATTTTTACTTTCGTTACAAGTAACGAAAGTAAAAGTATTGAAATGAATGGGTATAAGTAATTATTTTTCAGTTGTTTGTAAAACGAGATGGTAATGTATTTAATAAAAAAAATTAAATATAGAAGTTTCATTATATGACTATCGAAAATCACTCAACTTCCATTGTTAGTACTCTGCCAACAGATTAGCAGTTTGCGCTTTATACTATACATCGAAATCATGCTCATCTGGTTGCTTTATGAAAATAAGCATCTATGTTAATTTTAGAGATTTTGCATTGGGCGAACAATGAAACCATATTATACTGCATTGTGTAGCTCCTAATTCAATTAAAAATCTGCCTTGGTGTTTTAGTTTCTTACATTGCAACATTATTTCGGACTATGTTTCAAAATTAGAAGTTAATATTAAGAGAAAGTATAGGCTTTTGTGTATATTTAGAATAAATGCTATTTTCTTCTATTATAAAGGGAAATTGATATTACAATTAAGCGGACTTGTATGGGAACTAATTCACTTATAATTTTGCGAGAAACAAAGTTCAAAAATTCTAATTTAATATAAAAGTGAAATAGAAAACAGGAAATCTTTAGAAGTTTTTCATAGTTTGCCGACACTTTTTTTATAAAGATAATTTAGATAGCTAAAATTCAAGATATTTTTTTAAAACTACCATTTTGTGAAAAAGGTTTAAAAAAAGATTTTTAATTCTCTTTTAAAAGAAAATATTATTATCTAATAATTTGATTTTTTTTATTCAAGCATGATACAGCAGAACAACACGGGATTCCATCTCGCGCTACGTGTATTTTGCGCTTTGTACTGTATTGCGGGACTATGATCATTTAGTTGCTTGCTGAAAATCAAGCTTCGATGTCAGTTTCGTGGCTTTGAATTGGGCGCATGAGGGAACCATATTATGCCTATTATCCTGCCCTAATTCATCTATAATTTTGCAGCTTGACCTCGTGCTTACGTTTATAAAAATTACTAATGGGGCAAAAATTGAAAATTATATGTTAATATAAAAGAAAGATTTTATCCCGTAATGCATGTGCAAGGAAAACACACACAAACACTCACAAAATATAACAATACAATTAGGTCTTTTGTGCCCGAACTAAGTCAACTATACTTTAGAGTCTTATCCTTATGTTCACTTATATTGAACTAAGAAATGTGGCAAAATTTTAAAATTAATGGTTAATATAAACGCAGAATAGATGCCTTTACGTTTATGCATAGATCGCTCAAAAAAACTTCGGTCATTTTTCATAGAGTGCCGCCGATTTATTTAAAAATATAACTAAAAGAGCGATAATTAAAAATATTTTATTAAAAATGCATACCGTGAAAAATGTTTGAAAAAAGGATTTTTAATTTTATAATAAAAGAAAATTACTAGCCAATACTGTTATTTAAATTTGCGTACGATATGGCTGACCAACACGAGATTCGAAATCACGCTCTTGGGATTAGCATTTTGCTCTTCTTACTATACCACAGGATCATGATCATCTGGTTGCTCAAGAAAGATAAGAATCCCAGATTTGAATAGAGCGCTTAACAAAAGCGCATCATGCCTCATTTTGCGGCCTCTAATTCATCTATAATTTTGTGGCTTAAAGTAATAGTTTAGTACTTTATGTCACACTATACCTTAAAGTTACAAAAATATAAGATATTATTAAGAGAAGATATAGGCCATGTGCATGTGCTATATTTTTTATTATAAAGGGAATATTGACATCAAAATTAGACCCATTTGTGTCCGAAATAAATTGTCAATAATTTTGTGACTAGGTCTCACCTTTATTATATTGCAATAAAAAATAAGGTAACGTGTGAAAATTATAGGTAATTATAAAAGTCAAATATAGGCCTTCATGTATATACAGAGAACACACACACAAAGGACTTTACATTTAGGCCTTCTTGTGACCTGACTAGTTTGTCTTTAAATTAATGGTTTGGCCTCACGTTTTTTTTAATACTGAACTAGTAAAGGAGGCAAATTTTGAAAATAATTGTTTTATACAAAAGCAAAATATAGGCTTTATATACATGCAAAAAACACAAGAAAGCTTCAAGAATTTTTAATAATTTTCCGACTATTTTCTAATTAAGGAAAGTCATCTAAAATGTTGCATAATTCATGAAAATAAGCCTCTAATTCATCTGAAATGTTAAGGCTTGGAGTGATAGTTCAGTACGTTATGACACTCCTTGTACATTAAGACCGATAATTTAAAACATGCTATTAAATTTACCATAATATAAAATAAAAATTAAAAACGAAAGAAAAAAATCAATCTTGTAACTTAAAAAAAAAATTAAATATTAAATAACGTGTTTACTTGCATACGATACAACAATCCGCAGCGTGATTCGAACACTAAGCTTCTATGTCATTTTCGTGGCCTTGAATAGAGCTCACAATGGAACCATATTATGCTTCAATATGCTGCCCCTAAAATGTTAAGACTTGGAGTGATAGTTTAGTACATTATGACACAATGTCTCAAAGTTTCAAAAATATAAGTTAATGTTAAGAGAAGATATATGTCATTGTGCATGCGCTTTATTTTAGTTTAATACGCTATAGCAATATATTTTACTGAGTTTTATAATTATAGGTAAATATGTAGATGTAGGCAATTAAGTATGTTTAGAACATGTGCTATATTATTCTATTGTAAAAGAAATTCTGACAGTAGAGTTAGGCACCCTTGTGCATGAATTAGTTTGTCTATAAATTTTGCGGCTCTGCCTCGTCTTTTCTAATATCAAAATTATAAATGGAGCAAAGTTTAAAAATTATGGTTTAAAATAAAAGCAAAATATAGACCTCTAGATTCAGAAAAAAATTACAATTAGATTTCTTGTGCCCGAACTAATTCGTCTTTAAATTAGTCGGGCTTGACCTGCATTTTCTTACCTGTATTGTCGGGCTTGACCCGTATTTTGATCTGTATTTTATTCTAAACTAATAAGTGGGCAAATGTTTAAAAATGATAGGTAAATATAAAAGAAAATATAGGCCTTTTATAAGCAGAGAACACAAGATATCTGTTGAAATATTTCATAGCGTGCCAATGTTTTCTTTATAAAGAGAATTTAGAGAGCCATAATTCAAAATATGTTTTTAAAATTATCATGCTTTAAAAGAGTAAAAATAAATAAATAAATACATTTATTCTGTAATAAAAAGAAAAAAATTGACAGATTATTTGCTTTTTCATTTACATATGATATGGTAAACTTCTCCCGGGACTCATACTTACGGACATGGGATTAGCAGTTTGAGCTTCATACCATACTACGAGACCATGACTATCTGCTTCCTTGACGAAAATCAAATTTTTTATGTCTGTTTCTCAGCTTTGTATAAGGAGCACAATGGAACTGTATTATATCTCATTTCCTAAATCATCAGATCCTATCATACGAAGATCCTAATTCATCTATGAATATGGGCTTGGCCTAGTGTTTACTTATAAGGAAATAATAAATGGGGTAAATTCTGAAAATTGAAATTAAATATGAAAGGAAAAAATATGCATAAGAAAGTCTCAAAAGTTTCCATATTTCCCTGACACTTTCTTTACATATTAGGAAATATTGAGATCGATAATTAAAAATATTGTATTCACAATGCAATATAGTTCAAAAAGAAAAAAAAATCAATTCTGCAACAAAAGGAAAAAACTATTTACTATTAATTAACCTTTTTATTTAATAAGCCTTTTCCTTCGATACGACGTACAGCCCCGGGATTCGAACTCGTGCTCCTTTAATTAGAATTTTGTGCTTTATACTAAACGGGACAATGATCACCTTGTTGCTTAACGAAAATCAAGCTTTCATGACATTTTTGAAGTTTTGCATACTGTGCACAATGTAACCACATTGCGCCTCATAGTGCGTGAACTAATTCGTCTACAATTTGGCTGTTAAGTGTTATAGTTTAGTACGTTATAACAATATATCTGACAAAGTTATAAAATTTTATGTAAAGAATTAAGATAGACAATAATGCTATTTAGGACACTTGGTGAAATCTTTTGTTATAAAGGGAATACTGCCATGACAATTTCTCCCCCTTGCGCACAAACTAATTCTACGTACTTTCAAATAGGCCTCGTTTTCACTTATATTAAGTTAGTAAATAGGTAAGAGTTTGACAGTTAAATTTTAATATAAAATCAAAATTAAGGCTTTTATGTATATGTAGAGAACACAAAAAATTGACATTACAATTAGGGCTTTTGAGTCCAAACTAAGTCATTTAAATTTTGATGTCTAGACACGTTTTTACCTATATTGAATAAACAAATTGAGCATAATTTTAAAATTATCTAGGCTGATAAAAAATAAAAATATTGGCTTTCATATATATACCGAGATCACAAGAAAATTTCAAAAAATTTTCATAGTTTTCCGACGCTTTTCTTATACAGGCAAATACTTCGTCATTATATATAATTTGAACATGGGCTATATTCTTCCATTGTGGAAGGAATATTGAGCTTCTTGTGTGTAATTAATTCGTCTACAGTTTTAACTCGTCTTCCCTTCTATTGAAATAATAAATGGGGTAGAGTTTGAAAATATTAGATAAATATAGGCCTTTATGTATGATGAGAACACAAAAAATTGCGAAATTTTTCATATTTTTCCAACACTTTTTCTTTTCATGAAGGAGCATATTGAGAGCAATGATTTAAAATATTTGATTAAAATTACCATAAAGTTAAAAAAGGAAAAATAAATATTGATTGTGTAATAAAAAGAAAAAAATTATGGACTGACAATTAGCCTTTTAATTTACATACCATACAACAGATCTGTCTGGATTCGATCTAGCTCTCTTGTGATTTTCAGATTGCGTTTCATGCTATATCGCGAAACCATGATCACATACACACACACAAAATGACACTAAAATTAAGCTTTTTTGGGCGTGAACTAATTTGTCCACGATTTTACTAATTTGTTTACAATTTGTTATTTTTTCCGCCTTGCATAGGGTGTGCAATGTAACAGTATTATCTCATTGCGCAATCCCTGATTGATCTATCATTTTGCAACTGTTAATGATAGTACTTTTTGACAATATATATGATTAAGTTTCGAAATTATAAGTTAATATTAAGAAAAGATATAGGCTATTAAGTATATTTAGAACATGTGCTGTGTTTTTCTATATTCTTCTATTGACATTACAATTATATGTCCTTGTGCGTGAGCTAATTTTTCTACAATATCGCAGCTTGGCTTCGTCTTTCGTTTAATTGAAATCATAAATTGGTTGAAATGGAAAAATATAGTTTAATGTAAAAGCAATATATTGGTGTAAGAGTTAAATAATAATTATTTTTTTGGTGCGTAAAAAAGTAAAGTTATTTGTGTAATTGTAGTTAATAGATTGAAATATTTGTTGTATGTACTAATAATTGGATATAGTCAT